AGCTCTTGCTCTTCCATTCTGCATTTACCTCTTCTTGTCTCTGTTACTGCCCACCTCTCATGCTCCTTCGCTGAACTAACCTAGCTCACTAAACCAGCAAAAGATTATCCACTTTGGTTTTTTTGTTGCTGCTGTTTTGGCAGTTTGAACTGTCACATAGAAGGTCTGATGAGCTAAGCAGTGTGGGAAAGGTGAGAGAGGGGTCAGAAAGCTTTTCTTTTTTTTTTTCACCCCCTTTGTAACAGTGAACTGTTAAATGCCGAACTTCAGAACGTAGTTTAATGAAATAAAGTACTGAGGAAACCTCTTTGGAGAGGGCTGTGCGTTCCTGAGACGAAAATGAATTGCAAATGAGTGTAAATATTTTCAACAAGTGAAATGATAACTTCCATGTGGAAATTTTATGAATTAATAATGCCGTTAGGGAAAAGGTGAACTCATCCATTCCATCTGTACTGGAAAAGTTATCATTCACTTGTACTATTCAATCTTCTTAGACATTGAGGTCCAAACTGTGAAAAGACAAATTTGGTAACATTTATTCTGTTGGCAACAGATCAGAGCTAAGATAAAATTATACATGTATCCTTAATTTGATATTTTGATGAGATGATATTTTCATTAAGTAGTGTGATAAATGTTTCCTCTGAAAGTACATTAAAGAAAATGAATGAGCAAGTGCAGATCTTTAGAGTGATTTTTTTGTTTTAACGTGTAAATCATCTAAAAAAATGAAGAGTTGGACCCAAATTGTATTTGTGAAATCATATTATGTAATAATTTTGTAGACTGAATCTTTGTGGAAGAAATAGAAGCAATCAAAATGTGCTTTTTTTCCCCTTTTCCCCCCTTCTCTGCGCCCCTATCTCCTGCCCCACAAGAGGGCAATGTGCAGAAGGTGCTATAGAATTCCAGAAATCTTGCACCATATTTGTTTTCTTATCTTGCAGCATGTAACTATTGGAATTAAGAAGGTATTACATATTTTTTTTAGTAAGAAGCAAAAGAAAAAATGAAATCCCTAGTGATAAATAAAGTTTTCTGATTAATCATGACATATGAACTCAAGGTATTTTGTGTTGGTATTTAGCTACATCATAAATCAGGGCTCTTCAAACTCTAGGATGAATAATGTAACAGCTGCCTACCCAGTGGCTTCATGGCAATCACACCTTATTTTTCTTACAGGTTTCAGGAGCTGCCTGAATCTGGTCTGTGGCGCTAACCTATTTGTGAACCAAGAGTGAAGTTTCCTTTGTCAATTTTGTAGTTGTGTATTTTTTATTGTATTCTTCCTTGGAATTTTTCTTCTGCTAAATCCTGTTTTTACAGAATGTAGCATTGCATTTGTCATCTCTGCAACTATCTTAAAATATGGGTGTTTGGAACATCTGAACTCATGCCTATGAATCTTTAAAAAATTAAGTCTGAATATGTAGAGTATGTAAATGGGATACATGGGTTCTGCCTGCCCTCAGGGTTCCCTTAGCTTTCACTTACTAGCAGTATTATTTTCAGTCCTTGTTAAGAATAATTTCTGCCCTTTTTTCCTTACAGTAAGGCTTCTAAAAGGTCAGACATTTTATATCGTTACCTTTCCTAGAATAGTGGGTTTCCATGTGGCTTTCTGGATGGATGTTTATCTTAGCTGCTCCTATGTTAGTGATTTGTTTTGTTGGTGGTGTGGTTTTTTTTTTTTTTTTTTTTTTTTTTTTTTTGTTTGTTTGTAGAGCTCTGACTGATCAAAGAAGGTCTTAATAAAGTAAAGCATCCAGTGAGTTGTCCGTGAAGGGCTGACTGCTTGTTCTTTTTCTGGCAGTAGGGAAGATGGCTGGTTTGTGTGTCCTTTGAGACAGACTTGATTGAAAGCTGTCATATTTGTTAAGTATTGTGGGAATTCATGTCCCTCTGTTACTCCTTTTCTGGATTCAAGAGTGTATATTTCAGAACTCTTACTGTGCTTTGTGGTGTCTTTATGGTGGGAAGAGGGTGCAACTGCAAGGAGTCACTTTGTGGGAGCTAAGTCTCTTCATCTCAGCAGGTTGTTGCTGAAATTTTTATTCTTACCAGTGTAAAAACTGAGCAATTCTTTCAAAGGTTTTCCTGCAGTGAAATGTTCTCCACTTCTTTGATGTTATTTGCATCTGGAGTCAATTCACGTTCAGAAGTAGGACTTCTGAACTTTCCTTAGGAAGAAAAAAGAAAAGAGAAAAGAAAGAAGAGAGATTGTTAGAGGAGGTATAACCTAAAAGGAGGAGGGAATGTAGAGAGGACACCAGACCTCCTGTGCACGAGATCTTTGTATGCAAAAGGCCTTCGGGTGCGGTACCCCTCCAGTTGCCTTGCCTTGGTAAGCTGTCTTGGCAAACTTTGTGTTGATGTTTTGGATCTGGGAGAAGAATTTGATGTGGTTGCTGATGTTTCACTTTACAGAACTTAAAGCATATTCTTTCCAGGCTCTTAGTCATTTATGCCCCCTCCCTTCCCCCTGTTCTTGTATCCGTCTTTTCTTCTTCTTGTCACATCCTTTTCTGCTGAGACTACTATCAAAGTGATTTTAGTACATTACAGAATGTAATTTGAAGTCATCCTGACTGTTCCTTTGATCAGAATTCTATGTGTCTTTGCCTTTCAGAGAAAATTAACACTGGAAAGAAAAGAACACTAGAAAGTCAACGGAAGAGATTTTAAAACATGTTCATTTAAATGTTTCCTATTGTTTACTGATATTGCTGTGAAGTTTCATCTTAAAGCATATTAAAGTCATTGCCTCTTGGCTCCAAAATTATAAATTAAAAAAATTTCTTTAAGGTGATACGGTTTTCCTGGTGAAATGATGAAAGCTAAAGAAACTCAGGCAGTGAGTGGCTTAGATTTCCATTTCAAAACCTCCTTCTTGAGGCTTGTTTGGGGTTCAGTGAAATTATTAGTCAAGTTTATCTAAACATGTACACTGATGATATAGTAAGCTGGGTAACTAGCACTGATGAAAGGCTTTTGGATCAACAGATTTGATGGATAACATGGCAGTCTTGGTGTACGTGCTTCTGTTTTCTCTTGATCCGTGCTTGTTTCTGGCAGTATGGGTAGCACTTTTGGGACTGTTATATTTAAGAAATTATTAAAAAGACTGTGCAGTGCATTTGAATCCCTCCCCTATGTATTCTTTTAATTAATTTCAAATGTGTATTTTCCAGGTCTAAAAAAACCCAAACAAATAATCCCCCCTCCAAAATAAATGCAAAAGAACACAAAAAACCTCTCCCTGACCTGAAACTCCCTCAACAAGCTTGTATTAGATTTTAAACAATCAAAATCCTACCTTATGGGGTACATTGTTGTAATTATGACACCTGCTCCCTTTGTTATGAAAGGGAAAACTCCATATTTCTATCTAAGCAGCATACAGGGGGAAAAAACCCGCCAAGTTCACTTCAGTGCATGAGAAAAACAGACCTAGAAATCCCCATCAGCCTTTTAAAGAGTTCTTTTGGACCTTCCTTTGAGTTTTAAGCAGCATACAAGAATCAAAAGGATTTTACGTATTGTATTCTAGCAAGCGTATTTTTGCATGATACTCTGGTGAAGATGGCTATGGTACTCTATGAATTTCTTGGCTAAACTGTATTTCCTTCCTGGTAAAATTAGGTCATAAGTTTAGTTAAATGGATTTGGGACTGGTTAGAAACGATGTGATCTCTAAGTCAGTCAGCTGGTATTTGTCCTTCAGAAAGGTAGAGATAAATGTGTTTTGCTTTCAACTTTGCATCTTGATTGTCAATTAACTGATTCTACTTTTACTAGGGAATTCAGGAATCCATTCACTTATTCTCTCAGGCTGTTTCTATGATATTTCTTCCATTGTGACTGAAATAGAAAGCTGATACTTGGTGATACCTGACTAGAGTATGCACGTATTACATCTCGTCCTGGTACTTGGTGAGAGTGGTTGGGCAGTTGCTGTTGAACAGATTATGTTTCTTTTGAGGGTCTGGATAATAATTTTGATACTTAGAGAAAGATCAGCATTGATCATTTTTAAGATTCAAAGGGGTTACCAAGTTTTCATATGGCTGTTCAGACGTACACATTTAAGTTGTCTGCCTCATCTTTTCAAGCTTCGCAGTGAGAGTTTTCAACCCCTTGTGTCAATCCATATGTATGCATTTTTTTGGTAGCTTTCTGTTGAAGCACTCATTGTGAATAAATAGCCATAAAATTCTACTGTTCTGATGAGTTTTGTGTAAGTACACAAAAATTCCACAAATACATAGGTAAAGAAGCAAAATACTTGAGTGCCAGCAGCTTACAAGTAACTTTTTCTCATGGCTGCGGCTTCTCTGCATCTTCTGACGTTGGCTGTCTAAAAAAAAAAATTATGATGCTAAGAAAAAGTGACCTTCTGAACTTGTTTTTGATTAAATTGGTAAAAATATTGAACTTCCGTATTCTAAGTTGAATTGTTAATTTTGTCAGATGATTTTTTTTTTTTGTTTGAATTATTTAAACAAATACAATTTGGGTGTGATTCTGTAATCCTCTAAGAATTTATTTCTACCTGTATGGAAGACTTCTGTTATACTGTAAAGGATCTAGGTTAAGAAATTATTTTCTCTCTGCACAATTTTATTCACATGGCCAGTATTTCATGTTGTGTTTAAAAAAAAAAAAACAGCAGTGAAAAAAATTTCTCCAGCCTCTTTAGAAAGCACACTTGATTTGTATAGCTTTTTGGTATTTTGTTCAGTTTAACATGTAAGATACTTACTTAGTATGTAAACTTTATGCATCTTTTGGGGAATGGAATCTAAATCAAATTTCATATTCTTATGCATGGAGATGTCAGTAGGGGAGCCAAAGCTAAAACCTTGCATTAATTTTCAGTAATATCCCAAGAAAACATACTGTGCGGTTGCAGAAATGCAGGAAGCCCTCTGAAGCAGAAGCCATGGCTGGTTTTTAATCCAGCTTCTTTTGTTGATTAATTGATTATTGGGAAGATGGATAATATTAACAACAGCGGATTCGTAATGCTGGCTATAATTGAAGAATTTCAGTTTGTGTATTTTGAAAGCAAATCTAAATACTTGATTTGCTTTTATAAGATTATATTATAAAAATTTCAAAACATTAATGTTGTTTCCATTAAAATGGCACAGGACATCTCTCTTAAATTTTGGTAATGCTTGATGCTACATAAAATGAGTTATGTTAAAGATGAAGCTGAACTTAGGTTATATTCTCTTTTATAACTTCTAGAAATATAAAGAGAAAGATAAACACAAGCAAAAATATAAGAAGCAGTCGGAGTCCTCACCATCCTTGGTTCCGTCTCTCACTGTAACTACAGAGAAAGTAAGTCAATGTGTTTTTCCTCCTCTTCCACTTCAATTACTTATGTAGAAATTTCATGATGTAATCATTCCAGTGTATGTACAGGACCTTTATAATCGCATAGATTCTATAATTATCAAGCACATTTCCTATAATATAGAATCCTAAAATACTTGGAGGTTTATAATATGAAGAAAGGGTTAGATTTTTGTAATTGAATAGTGAGTGATTTAATGACCCTAATCAGGTGCCACTGATACTCCAGGAAGTTTTATTTCATTGATTTATGTCTAATAGTTTGAGAAGTTTTAGAAAATCTTTCCTTAGAAATTCACTTGTGTGTACTGAGCTGTCACTGAACGTGTAAGCATTTAAGCTGGTAATTATGAAATTACAGCTCATGCGTCATATACTTTGCCTTTTTAGCAGTCTGCTCCATTTGGTTCTGTGGTCTTTCCATCCTGTTAATGTGCTAGCAAAGGGACAATAGAGGGTTAAATAATGACAGTTCTCACTGTACTCTACAAGAATTGCTTTCACTATCCACGAAAACAATGACACTAATGATACTATTACAGAGTGAGCACCAGTATTGAGAAATGGGTTTTCTGACTTCAAAGTTGGAAAACATTTGTCCCATTCATGTGGGAATGTTTGACATCCAAGTCAGGGAACCATGGTTTGAATTAATTAGCTATCCCTAAGTACAGCATTGTTTTTTAGCAAAGATGCTGAAGCTTCTGTTAACTGTAGTTTGGTTGCTGAGATGCAATATTCGACAAATGCGTCTATTTGCATATGGTACACCAAGACCTTGTCAGGAGAGGGTAAAACAATTGAGATACCAACTTTCTGTAGTCCCTGGAAGTATTCCCTTAACTAGTGGTATCAACTTCAAGAATCATCACGAAGAAAGTTATTTTTTAGTATGCTTTGGATATTTCTTTATTCTCAATAGCAGGATTATTAACTTGAGGATGTGTACCTCCTTTTAACATCCCATTATTTGTGACTCATGTTTCTGATAAATTAGTCTTGTTTTTGGTTCTACTGTATTCTTTTTGACACTATTGTGTTAAGTGAGACTTACTAGTCAGTGCTTTTCTGAAACTCCCAATAATTCTTTATTTAAAAAAAAAGGAAAAAAAAAAAGGGAAAAGAACAGGTAGAGTCAATTTGATGCTTTGCTGTTTTAAGAGTGATTAGACACTGCAATCAGTGAGTGTGACAGTTTTCATTGAAATTAAGTTGTAGAACTCTTTGAATAGTACTGACTGGTCCATGTGATTTGTTATTTCATTTTATTAATTTGTTGTTGTAAACCTATTCCTCTTGAGTCTAAGACAACCCATAAAATTCATAGCCTCTAGACAAGGCTTCCCCCCAAAGTGTGGGACTTTGTCTAAACTTCACAATTTTTGTGCTATGTATAATCTTATCTTTCTTGAATTACATCCCTGCTGTACTTTGATTATCTAATCATCATCATAAGTTTTAACCAAAAGTGATACTATTGTATATTTGTGTAAAAGTTGAAGAAAATATATTGGAATACTGGTTATTTTTGAGTTCTATGTGTTAGAATATGCTTTTAATGCTGAAAACACAGTTGAATTCTGTTTTTCCGCAAATCTATTTTCTAATTGCTTTGTTCTCCCTAGTCTTTTCTGAACTGGAAGTTTGTGACTCAACAGTGTACACTTCAGTAAGGTGAACAAGAATAAAATCCCATTTTTAGCAGAACTCTATTTAATCCAAGTAAAGAATGAAAATCTTGCTGAATGTTTGCTATACTGTTAATTGAGATTGTACTATAGTTGTATGTATAGCAAGTCAAACATAATTTTGTAGTTAAATCTATAGGATTTATAATAGGAACATTTTAAATATTTTTATGTTCTTCTGAATACCTAAACTTCACCTTTTTATAGTCTTAAAAGTAATTAAATATATAATATTACAATAAAAAACCTTGCAACTCTAGGGAGCAACTCTAGAGCTAGAGCAAATACTGAAGAGAACAGAAACTCTTTATAATTCTAGAACTTAAATTATAATGGAATTAAACCAGAAATATTCATTGTGGAATTTGATATCAACACATGTCCTTTCAGTTTTCTTTTTTTAACATTTTGCATCCTGTGTTTTTTTTTCCTATGTAAGCTATCTGCTTCATTTTCTACCTTTTTTTATGTAATGCTTCAGAACGTCAGGAAAATTGGTGTTCAGGTTTTTTTGATGAAGTTACTAAGTGTGATTATGTTTTCTTAAAAAGTATCTGCTGGGTATTTGGAAGTGAGTTTTTGTGGCTAGTTCCTTCAATTATCTTCTTTTAATTTTTTTTCCTAAGTCCTTCTAACACCGTTTACATGCATCTGCTTTTCTAGGTTATAAATTCATAGCGTGTTCCTCAAAAATTTGAAATTTTAATAATAAAACAAGCTTTCTTTTTTTTCTGAGATAAATATTTGGTTCAGAATATTGTATTAATATATTACTTTTTTGTGTCCTTTTACATAAAGTTGTCAGAATTGATTTGGACTTGATGTCTTTTTCACAGCAGTCTGTCTTTGCAGTGAATACATTATTTCATCAGGGTATATAATCACTTCTGCTACCACATTGTTCCTGTGGGAGGAACTGGAATTTGAAATGAATTTTGTTTTTCCTTTTTAAAGAAGTTAAATCCTTTGTGATAACAGTGGTAATGACCATTTATGCAGGTGATGCCTTAAAGCATGTTTTTATCTGGATGAGTGGCTTCTTAAGATAGATTCATGAAAGGCTGCAGAATAAGCATTTGTGCTTAATGTAAATGCACATAAATGTGCATTTACATTATATTAGTTAGTATACTTGGCTTGCCTATTTGTTCTGCAAAATTTAATCCCAAGAAATTCTACTGAGGTTCCAGTCCAAATGTTGTGTTGAGATAAGAGTATGTCGTTTAAGAGGCATTTTTGTGCATCCCTGTAATGTCTCGGCAAATGTTGCTTAGTCTGTATCAGTTAAGTTTGAAAAAGTTTGAAACAAGAAATTCTTAACTCTTTGATGAATGTACTAAGAAATTTTTCAGTTTTCTTTTGGGGCATAGGCACAGAATGTTTTAGGAAGGACTAGAATAACTTAGGAATTTGAATTCTCTCTCTGCCTCTTCAGATGAGGTTTTCTTCTGGCCTTGCTCTTAGTTGGGAAGGGGCATCAGTCCCTTATTTAGTCCTGATAAACGCTCCTGTCTCAGGTTTTGAGCTTTGGCTTGTATTGAGATTTTAAAAATGTGTATGGTTTAACAGATCCAGAAAAATACAGTTGTCCTTTTTTTTTTTTTTTTTTTTTGAGGGGTGAGTGGGTATTAATTAAATAATTATTATTAATTAAAACTTCAAAACACTGATGTACACAAAGATAACCAAGACAGTGTGTCTGCATTCAAATTGTAGCCAGTAACTACATAAAAGATGCTGTGAACAAAGTACAGCTGATTGAATTTTATCTGAAATAGTAGAGATAACAATGATAACTCTCCTCAGTTCACCCTGATGATCAGCCCAACCTGCTTCTCAAGGGAGGTGCTACATCCTACCACAGTGGGGTACAGAAAAGAATGAAAAGAGTAGGGAAATCTCTAGTCAGTATGGCTGAACATCACTATCCTACAGCAGCGTGGTGTTTGTGGGCTGTGGGGGTATATGTGTGTGTGTGAGTGTTTGTTCTTTTTTTTTTTTTTTTTCCTCCTTTTGCTTGGACCATGCTTTTACCATCCGGCATTTTTGTGGAGGATTACATGCCATGGTCCTTCCCTCCTCTGTGCAAGAGTACCACTCTGTACAGCTGTACTGGGGCTAAAGGCTTGTCAAGCCTTGGGACGTACTGTGTGTAGCAAGAATAATTATTATGCCTTTACCATAAGTCTAAAGCTTTCCCAGAAGTTTCAAGACTTGCTACGGATGGGTGGTATAACTCTTCAGAGCGCACAGAGTGATATATGGGGGGTGTAAAAATGACAGTAGCTCTCTCTGCACCAAGTTGGCAATGTGAAAATGTGCTTTTCGGAAAAACAACCTGCAGACTAGTTTATGGGAAGCATAAAGGAATCCTGATATGCATAGAGTTAGCTTAGTAATTGCACTAGCAAATATTGTCTAATTTTGAGAACAGGTCAAGTCCTCCCAAATTGGAGTTGGGTGACAGCATCAGGGCAGTGTTCTTTTTGGGGGATGTCTATACTGAAATGAAGGAAAATGACTTGACTGCAGTGTGAGCAGTGCAGGGGGGAGTCTTCAAATGTATTCCATTTAAAAACCATGCGCTGGGAGGGGACAGCATTGTAAGCTCGGGGCGGGGTGGGGGGGAGCGCTGCAGAGGCTGAATTCTGTCAGTAAATAACCAAAGGTATTCTGCCTCTATCCTCAGATCCTTGGTCCCTGCCACTCTCTTTCTCCTGACCTCAGGAAACCCCAGAACAATCAATGTAACTTTGCCATGGCATATTAAAGTTTTTCCGAGACATTTCTGTTAGGCTTTTGTCTTTTAGAACTTAGCATTTTAGGAAAGCAGATTGTTTAGTGGTGGGTAGGTTATTGTGTGAACCAACTGGCTTAATAATAGGAAGTTTGTGCTGCAGTTTTACCTGAGATCCTATTGCATATGTTGTGGATTCTCAAAGCAATTGATGTATGCGTATCTGGTTTAGGGCGCTTTGTTGCAATGAACTCCTTAAAGTAAGGAATATAATATATGGAAAAAAAACTACTGACCAAATGATACCAATTTTACTTTGCTTAGGGTATATTGCATCGTATTAGTGTTGAAGATATTCCAAGTAAGCATGTAGATTTCAGTACACTTTACAGCACCTTCTGAAACATAAATACCTGTTGGAGCAAACTGTTCAAAAGCAGAACTGTGATGTACATGCATATTCTCCAAAATCTGCTAAGAGCAGGATTCAGATGTGTAGTCAAACCAATTGTCTGCACACTATATGTAAATTAATGCCTACTTATCATTGCCTAGCTCTGGCCAGTCTGCAGAGCTATGTTAAACTCTTTACTTCCCTTTAAAATAAATAAATAAATGTCCTGGTTTCAGCCAGGGTAGAGTTAATTTTCTTCAGAGAAGCTAGCGTGAGGCTATGTTTTGGATTTGGGATGAGAAAATGTTGATAAGGTGCTGATGTTTTGAGTTGTTGCTGAGTAGTCAAGGACAGTCCAGCTTCTCATGCTGGCCTGCAGCGAGCAGGCTGGGGATGCACGGGAAGCTGGGAGGGGACACAGCTGGGACAGCTGACCCAGGCTGGCCAAAGAGATATTCCATACCATATAACGTCATGCTCGGTATATAAAGCTGGGACAAAGAAGAAGGAAGGGGTGGAGGGATATTCGGAGTTATGGCGTCTGTCTTCCCAAGAAACCATTACGCGTGACGGAGCCCTGCTTCCCTGGAGATGGCTGAACACCTGCCTGCCCATGGGGAGTAGTGAACAAATTCCTCGTTTTGCTTTGCTTGCGTGCGCAGCTTTTGCTTTACTTATTAAACTGTCTTTATCTCAAACCATGAATTTTCCTCACTTTTACTCTTCCGATTCTCTCCCCTGTCCCACCGTGGGGGAGTGAGCGAGCGGCTGTGTGGGGCTTAGCTGCCAGCTGGGGCTAAACCACGACAATAAATAAAAACTAAAAAAAAAAAAAAATCTGCAGTAATGGAGAAGGGGTACTCGATAACATCAAACTATGATTATTAATACTTATAGAGAATTATCCTTGCAATTAATATTCAACTGAGTGGATAGGAGATGAGAATTAGGAAGAATTGTATAATAGGAAAAATCCTGTATCCTAGAAAAAGCCTGACTTTTGGTTTGGGTTACTGCATGTCTGGAAGCCCTTTGTTCAAATGACCCAAATTTGAACCACTGCTTCTTAACTCGGGTCAAGTGACACATCAGTTTGTGGACTTTGTAATAGTTCAAAAAGTTAACTACTGAACTTACCTTAGAATTGGCTCCATCTTCATTAGAAACGCTTACCAGTATAGTAATATGAATTTGAGGTAAATTATTTTTAACACTGTATTTTAACAGACTTAAACTGATTTTTCTTCACTGTTATTCAGAAAATCCATAATACATTTTTATTCCAGTTCATAATAATTCATACAGGGTGGTACACAAATAGATAAAAATTTTCATCTTCCTCAAAGCTTATATTTAGTTGTCTTCTGTATTTGCAACTGAAAAGTAAGTTCTACATAAATGTCTTAACTGGTTTAGTGAAAATATGGAAAACCTTTTATACCAGCTATACAAAGCTTTATATTAAGGTGAAGAAATACTCTGCTGTAGGCCTAAATTCAGCAAGCATCCCAGTCAGGGATGAGATAACTTGTGTATATGCTCAGTTTTAAGAGGCATGTGTTTGTGTAGTCTTTAATGGAGATCAATTTAGATACTGTTTTAAAACTCTCTTCTGTAAATAACTGAAAAACAAACTAAGCTTTTTTTGAACAGATGAGTAGCTTGTAGGTTTGATCCATATGTTTTGTTGAAGACGCTTTATACAGTTAAAAGCGGGCTATTTTACTAGCTAGTTTGAGTATAAATAACGGTAGAATATTATTTCTTTTTTCCTAATTTTGCTTTCATTTTTTGTTTTCTGGTATTAAAATTCTGCTATCGCAACTGCAAATTTTTATTTATTATGAAAACAAGTATTTTGCTTTGTGTGATTTCCTAATGCTGTGCACGCAGTTTCCCTGCCCACCTACTTACTTTCTGTGAACCTATTTTGACTATTGTACACCAATATGAATGATGATGACAAAATTTAACAGAAGAATAATGCACCAAAAGATAAAATTTTTGAAATCCCTGTGAAGAATTTATGGGTGTAGGAGAAGGGCCAAAATTCTTGGTGATGGATGGGAATTGAGAAAGAATTCTGTGGTGGGAGCTCAAGAGCGTGTTACGCTGTAGTAGGTAGCCAATCATTCCTGCACGTGTCTTGGCCAACTAGATCTTGTGTACTGTCTTTAGCTGATTATACTTAAGGAACTGGCTGAATGGGATGGTTCAGATGGCAGGGAATCCTAGTGTGAGGATGTGAAGACATAATGGGCAGTTGGGCTTGTTGGAGCTGATTTCTGGTCTGGTGTTGAGACTCTGAAGTCTTAAAAATGCAAGTTCTTAGGTTCTGAAGCCTTTAGCAGTTCCACTGCTGATGGAACAATGTTTCCAGTTTGACAAAAGAAACTGTGTAAAACTTGTGTTTTCAGAAAAGCATTTGAAGTCTCATTTTTTTCTTTTTAATTTTAAGCAGTAAAATAACAATTTAAACAGGATATAAAGACTGTGTAACCATAGATTTGAGATGAATCCGTTTATCTCAGTGAAGTAAAAATTTCAACCAAAAGACAATATTTTTGTGCATTTTCTTCCACAAAACAAAGTTTTATGCGCTTCAGTTGTTTGCTGAGTATCTTAAGAATTCAGCTTACGTAACTCCTGCTGTTGCCAGTTACCTTTTGAACTATTTGAACATTTCTAAGTTTATTTGAAAGAACGGGTTTTTTTAAATAGTGCTTTTGTTACATTTTTTTTGTGTGACTAAACTGTTTCTTTTCTTTCACTCTTTTCTCTTATCAAAATGCTAGACATACACAAGCACTAGCAACAACTCTATGTCAGGCTCCTTGAAGCGGCTGGAAGATACCACGGCTCGATTTACAAATGCAAATTTCCAGGAAGTTTCTACACACGTTTCAAGTGGAAAAGATTCTTCAGAGGCTAGAGGGTCAGAGAGCAAAGGGAAGAAATCTGCAGGTCACAGCTCAGGTCAGAGGGGAAGAAAGCCTGGTGCTGGAAGAAATCCAGGAACAACTATGACTGCAGCTAGCCCTTTTCAGCAAGGTATTAACTGTTACGCTGTAACATGACTTCTGCTTTGACATGAATTAGAAATCTTACATACTTAAAAACTTGAAGTAGTTAATCCTTTATCCTCAATGAGAATGTTGTTTCACTTCGGGGGAAAAAATAACTTTTTTCAGGGAAAAAAATGTTCATTGTCATAACATGACAAAGAAAGTTGTCCATCTTTAAAGGGCAAAACTGATGCTTTGCTTAGACTGTTAAGTTATTCTCTTTAACTGCTAACACCAGAAATTTCTTTATGTGCTGAAAAGTTAGTCTGGGGTAAAATTTAACAAGAGTTTGAGTCTAGCGGTCTTTCTTAGCTCTTTAAGGAAATACTACTAATGTTTTTTAGTTAGTGCATATTAGAATGAAACTGGACTACCTAATGTATAGGATGCAGTGGCCCCTAAACAGGTGCAGACATTTTAAAATATATAATTTTCTTCAAAGTGAGAGACCTTTTTCCTTTTATTTTTTGTCACTGAAATACATAAGCAGAAGATGATTACATGACAAGTATACACAGTTTATTTACCTTATATAGGTAAATACTTCTAAAAAGCAAATTTTATTATGGCATCTTCATCAAAGTTGAAGAAAGAGAAAAAGAATTTAAAAATCTTTTTTTATTACTTACAAAATAACATGTTTTATTAGTTACCACAACAAACTTGACCTTCTATAAAGTAGTTGTTTTTCCATAATTTTCACTGCAGCGTGTAGTAGCTGACTGTCCTTTCTGCTTTATCATGTTGGTCTGTCTTTGAGTTTATGCAGCGAGCACTTTCAAATTAGTCTAGAACACTTTCAATATTTCAGGCTTTTTTTACTTGAAAAAATGGAAGGTTTGGGTGTGGGGTTTTTTTAAGTTCTCAAAGCTTTGAAAATTGTCTTCTGGAATCATGAATTTAAAGAAAAAATCTTGTTCACTGCAGATGGCAAAATAGATCTTTACTATGTGCATGTATTTTCTTTCAACCTGCATTAAGTGAAATTGATGTAACTTATTTAAAACACAAAACAACAATGCTTTTATGAATTTTAAATTGCTGTATTGATGTAAATTATATTTTAAATGGAATTCTTAATAATGTTTAATGGAGTACTAATGATAAAACAGTAATTTTTAAAGGACTTTTTTATACCTAGTGTTATATTTAGGATTATTTTCTTGACAAGAGAGTCCCATCAGTCAGAGTTCTACAAAACAGTACCCACTTGCACTCACCCATATAAAATTACTAAATTTCAGTGCAAGTAGATGTTTGTATTTCCTAAGTGTGCTCCATTTTCTGCCTTGCATGTGCTAACACAGGGATGAAATGACTGCCTTCCAAATATTACAGAAGCAATGTAATTCTACTACACAAAAGATCTTTATGGTTCTTATACAGTGCTAAAGAAATCTTAAAATGACAATTTTATACACTTTTCTCCACCTCCTCTCCTGTCCTTTTGAAAAATACCTCTTCTGTGGAAGACTTCCTCAGCCAGGGTAATTTAAGTGCAATTGCTGTTCCCTTGACCTGTGTCAGACCCTTGATTTAGGTAGAATGGTAAGGAGAATTGCAGGCATAGTGTAGATGTGATCATACCACGTTTCTATCACCTTTCTTTTTCTATATGCGTATGTCTAAACAAACCTACTCTGACTCGTACCAAGTGTTTGTTGTGGCTTCAAAACGTGAGGGATGTCAAAAGTTGCCTAAGGAGCAAAGTTGTTATTCTCCTTTTACTAATTTTCACCTTGTTTGTGCCCCAAATTCAAATCTGAATCTCAGAGATTCAGATCCAGCAGAGTGAAGATCAGCAGGAGAAGCAATGAGTTATCTTAAAAATAAATTCTTTAGCTCTTGGTAACATTTTTCATTAAGTCCTTGCACTTTAAAGTTTTGTATTCTAAGATATTAATTTTTCCTGTCTTTTTTTAATCAACTACATGAAAAAAAACATGTACTTTTCCTTTACATTCTTTTTTAGGAAGCTTTTTGGGCACTCCTGGGAGCATAAAGTCATCTTCTGGAAGTTCAGTTCAATCTCCCCAGGATTTTTTGAGTTTTACAGACACAGATCTGCGAAGTGACAGTTTCACGCATTCTCAACAGGCTTCATCAACCAAAGATGTACATAAAGGAGAGACTGGGAGTCAAGAGGGGGGTGTCAATTGTTTCACTTCCTTAATTGGTCTCCCTTCATCATCAACTGTTTCTCAATCTAAAAACTTTGAGAGCTCACCTGGAGACATAGGTAATTCAAGCCTTACTTCTACAGCATACAAACGAGCTCAAACTTCTGGAATAGAAGAAGAAACTGTAACAGAGAAGAAACGGAAAGGAAATAAGCAAAGTAAACATGGGCCTGGTAGACCCAAAGGAAATAAAAGTCAAGAAAGTATTTCCCATCTTTCAGTTTCTTCTGCTTCCCCAACTTCATCTGTGGCATCTGCTGCAGGAAGTGTGACAAGCTCTGGTCTTCAAAAATCTCCAACTTTGCTCAGGAATGGAAGTTTACAAAGTCTTAGTGTTGGCTCATCTCCAGTGGGTTCAGGTAGGCATTTATTGGATTTGTTTTCTTACCTCAAAATAGGTTTTTATTATTTTATCCATAATTCTGAGTATGCTTTTCAAGAACAGAGTGTCATTTAAAGTATTTTGAAAGTTGCATTGGGAAAAAAAGTAAAAATTAGAATATGACTGTTGGAAGAGTAAGTTTTGTTCCATGTATAGGTGCCACTGTGCTGTAGGTGGCTGTAGTAGATTGACCTGTGATTGACCTATATGCTATATAAATGCGAGTTTTGAGGCTGTTGGGGGAAAAATAAGTTGCATGAAAATAGGTTCTTTGGAAATTACACATGACTGGTTTAGCTAAGATAAGTGATAGTTTATACAGACTATGTTGTCTGTATGTTCTGTTACATAGAGAAAACAAAATCACTACTCAAGCATGTCAGCTGTGCTGAGTATGTCCCTCAATTATTTTTTCCCCAGTTAGCTTAATTAAAAATCAAAATGTCTATATGGAGAATTATCAGTTTAAACACATAAAAGGATATTCTGAATCTGGATCCCTCTGCAGTCTGATGACACTTTCATATTCTTGTGTGCTTTTTAGCAATTGAAATTGGCTGGTTTGTTCTTCCTCTGTTCTAAATGTTATGTGCATCTGGGGCTGTGAGAAACTTTCTGTTCCCAGTAAACCTGTGTGTGGAATGACTTTGCAGAATACTGTATCTATCAAAGTCTTTCTTGCTTTGAAGTTTCTTTTGAGACCTTTGTGTTTGGATAAAAAAATAACAAACTATCTGATACCTAATTTTTATAACTTTGAAATTGTGTCCTTTTTGTTGTTCTAGTGGATTTTTTGCTTAATTTTTGGTTTTTTTGGGTGGGGAAGAGAAATGGAACTTGACTATATCGCTGTGGGCAGGGTTTTATGCCTTTATATTGTATATTTTCACTGTATAAGCAAGAGATACTTAAAAAATCTATATGCTCTAAAAAACTTAGTATTTTTTTCAGATCAAGACATGTGCTTGGTCTCAAAACCACATTGTTTTAAATCTGTGTTAGATATAGGCAAATGATGATTTTTATTATGGGTAAATAATGGCAATAGGAGTGGCAACTATATTTAAAAAAATACTTTTCCTGCATGGAAATCAGTAGGGAGAAGTGGTATGTTACAAAACTTGCTAGTTCACTGTCCATCTTTTTGATTAAAATGCAGTTTAAAAAACATGTTAACCTCCTATCTGTTATGGACAGAGATCATATAACAGATTTAGGTCAGTGGTCTGATTATTAAATAGTATGTTTATTAGTAGATTATTAGATAGTATGAACTTCCTTATTGCTTTATAATCCTTTTGAAGTGGATTATGTACTGTTGTAGCTGGGGTAACAGATGGGAGTACAAGATCTTGGTTTGAAGTGAATGACCCATGTTCCCACCTTATATTTGTCTTAGAATGTTCTGGTCTTGTGAGCTCTTAAAACAGGCCTGTTTCTAGCCAGGTCCACCCTTGCTTCCTTTGCCCTCGTTATTACATCTCGCTCTTCCCTCTATAAAATACCAGTGATAATGTTGAAGTCCTTTTGTAAACAGCTTTAAAATGCATGGATGGTAATACTGTGTAGGTTTTATTACCGTTATCATGATATTAAGCCTATAATTTCACCTGTTAAGCATACGTAGATTCTTGCTAGCCAGCGTTAGACCTGACCTCTAAAACAGTGGTATTTTCTGAAGGTGCCAAAGAATATTAATGAAAAACAAACACACAAACAAAAACTGTAAAGAATGTAACATTAACAAAAACCAGAAAACCCAAAGAAACAAAAACAGATGGGATGTCCTTGCCTTTGCGCATGAGCTCTAAATTCATCCACAAACTTCTGCTTGAGGCTGAGCATATTGTTTTAATGTACTCTTCTCCCTGATTTTCCCTCTTTCTCATGGTTGTAGTGCTGCTTTCCTCACTTCATCATAAGCATTTTCTGGGTTTAGCAGTCCATTTACAACTTTGTTACAATGAGGAAGGGCATATGACTATTATCAGAAACATACATTTTCTCAGGTATAATATGCTGATGTTTCTCTTTGAAATGTCTCTATATTGCCCAGTAACACAATCTGAGAAGTGAATCTAAATTACTTAATTATAAATCCAAAACCCCAAATAAGATTTTGTGCATGTAAATGTAGTGAGAGAAGACGCAGGGGAAGTCAAGCCAAAATGTTTTTACTGACTCTTACTTGGAGTTGCCTTATGACTTCAAAGAAGCAGAATCAGCAATAATTTAGACCATGCTAAACAAAGCTTTTGAGGCACTTTTTCAAGAATCTCCTCCTCACTTTTTAAAAATAACCTTCTTAACTGCAGCTATCTTAAGCTACCTTTTTTCCATTTTTTGACGAGTACTTGTTGAGAGACATAAAAATTGTGAAAATCATTACTTCACAGACGTATGATAATGCTGTTCACAGTTAATGTTCAAATTGGATGAAACGTGAAGGAAAGCTTATTTTAAAAGGTAATGCAGATTCATTGTGTGCTATTTATACATAATTAAACATCTTCCATAAAACTTTTATTCAGAGTAAGTGCATTCAGCTCATTTTGTGAAAATATTTGTCCTCTCCAAACTTCTCCCGTCCACAGAACTTCTGTTTGTCTGCTTAATAAGAACAGAGGTGTACCATGAATAGTACAAGGCCATGTAATTAAATGCTGTTGCAATACATACACTCAGGTGGTATTACAGTTGCCATGCAACTGATACGATGCTTTCAAAAATTTTGAGCACTTGAATGTGCGATCTTAATGCTTTTCATAATTTTTTCTGAAATGTATTTATAATCTGATAAAAAACACTGTATGCATTACTTTAATAGTGTACTCAAAGGAGTGAAAATAATTTTAAAAAGTGAAATAAAATTTAGTTGGTAGGGTGATAAGGAATTTTTACATTAATATTTTTCTAGTACATCTGTCCCTGTTTAAAAAAAAAAAAAAAGCTTCTTTAGCCAATAACAGCTTATTTACAAACCATACTTACATTTCTGCTGGTCAGAAGACATAAGCGGGTTGGCAGTGGGATTTACATAAAGCTGATACTGGTTCCCCCAAAACGGGACAAGTCTCTGGAGTGATTTCAGGATCTGAATTTTTTAGTATGGGATTGTTTCGTCTGAACTCTACAATTTTATAGAGCTATTTAACTGTTTAAGTCACACTAGTTGTATTCTCAGTACTAAGTTAATTCTCAGCATCCTACTAAGGAATAATACTTAAAGATTTCTAGTCCGAAGTATTGTAAAGCAGTGATCCCTTCTGCTGAAGATTTTTATTTTTTTTTTCTTTTCACAACAAGGGTGATTGAAGAACAGGAAACCATCAATCAGGAACTGGAAGAGATGAGTAGCCTCTTGTCCCAGTGCTTACCTCTGCTAGTAGTAGATTCCAAGATCAGATGTTTCTGTTATCATGCTTGCACTGTATTTCAACAGTAGTACATAAACTAATAAGGTGGTGCGAAGGAAAAAAAAAACCAAACCAAACCAGTTATGATAAATAGCTTTCATACATTCTGTATTTTTCTGTCAAGCAGTTTGTGCAGGCTCTGGCCCCAATTTGTTTGGAGTACACTCCAGTGCATGAAGAACTTCCTGAGAACTCGTGTCCTACAGCAATAGGGAAAAAAACATTTTGTGACGTACAGTACCTTCTGACTTTTGTGGAATAATGCAGCAAGGTAAAATGAAATGCAATCAAGTGTCAGAAGTAAACTGAAATTTCTGGTTTATGGTAGATAAAGTTCTTGCACGCTTATCTTCAAGTTCTACATGGGTACTTGCTGCTGGAAGAATTACAGTGCTTCAAGCATATAGGGATGATTCTCTGTCTTTCCTAGTTCCGTCCTTGATTTCAGATATACAACAAACTATACTATAAACCTCAGTTGCTAAGGACTTCAGGGGACCATTTGCTTCAATATTTAATTTTTGCATAGTTTATTTTATGCCCTTACAAGTATTGTTCAACTTACACAAGAGCTTATAAAACAATTCTTTTTTGCCTAAGAAGACTGGAGGAGGTTAAATTCTAAACTGGACTTCAAAATGGTTAGCCCATTCTTTCAGCAGCCTTGCTGTGCCCATCTTCTGGAATCCCTTCACCACAGTTGAGGCAACATTATAATTTGTCATCCTACATTTTTATCGCTACAGCATATATATTCTACCCTCGAGCAGTCTTCAGTATGCTCTGGTTGGTAATACTAGTCAGTTTTTGGAATAAAGGACGTATCCAAACCCAGTATTGTACTTCAATATAGCAACATTTAAAACTGATTTAGAAACAGTTAATGCTTTTTGGCACAGGCCCTTTTGCGTTGATCTAATGTCTTGTGCAGTCAAATTTCAGCTTTATATTGGAAGTTACTAAATGCTTCAGCTTAGTCCATGTATTTTATTCTCCTTTCTCATCTGATTCAATCAGTGATGAAGCCTCTGCCAAGTGTTATGATCTTGTGCAAGATGATCATACTGTTAAACTTCTTGTGATATTGATGATGTAAGAGAACTCTGAGCTTCAAAGTAGATGAGTAACTTGAAGTGATTCTCATTGAGATACCAAGTCCCCCAGAGCTTATGTTGAACCTTTATGACGTTATGTTTAAACTCCTCTGTAGCCTTTGCCTTTCCAGCTAAATGTATTGGGAGATAGAGTTTAGACAAAATTATTCTGGAACAGTTCATGCTATTATGTTTATCTGCTAGGTGCCCCAGAAGCCAAAGCAGAAACAGAAGTTTTGCTATGTTAAAAAGCCAGTTTGTATTCTGGAGGAGATAGAATAGAAAGGACAAATTAATACTAGTAGATATTAATGACCTTTTAGGACTAAGCAAACTGTGTGGAAAATACACAATGCAAAATTCTTGTGCAGAGAATGTAATTCTTCATATTTGAGGCTCAAGAGAAATGGTGTTGGTTTGATATGAGATTAAAATGTTAAAATTGATGATTGTTGGTGTAGAAAACA